CTAGTAGCCCTCTTCCGAGTTCTTTTTGTGGTAAGGAGCACAAAACTGAACCCGATATTGCAAAAGTGGCCTATATAATAAAATTATAACCTGTTTACACTTGTATTCAATATTTCTGAAGATACAACCTAAAATCATATTTTCCCCGCCACTAGCAACAACACACTGCGTGGATGGATTAAGAGACTGATCAACCAGAACACCAAGATCCTCTTTTCACGTTAAAATTATACTTTTAATTCCAATTGTGATATCCCACATGCATTACCTTGCATTTATTCTAGATAATGTCAACTGCCATTTTTTCACATAACTCACCAAATAATCCAAATAATTTTGTAAAGTAGTAGTAGTATCCTTCAGCCAGCAAATTTAACAAGAGTTTGTGTAGTATCTTGTCGTATGCTTTCTGAGTATCCATATGCACCAAATTCACATCCATACTCTCATCTATGTAGGCAATAACCTCTTAAAAGAATACTTAGAAATTAATAAGGCAAGATTATCTCTCGAGGAAATAAAGCCGGCTATCCAACAACATTTCAAACTTTGTTAAATGACTTTGCAAAGTATGTTTTATCAGACCTTAAATATGTCCTATCACTGATGTAAGACTAAAAGGTCTATAAATAGTGGAACAAATTTAAAACATGCTTTGAAAAGAGGAGTAACATTAGCCAATTTCCAGGATTCTGCCACCTGCCCTCTATTCAAGGACATAGAAAATATAATAGCAAGGGATTCGTTTATCCAACCCTTAACATGTAGATACCTTCGGTTTTCGGGTTCTGCTTTGGGATTTGATCCATGTTTGGACCAGGGTGGGTCAGGTTCAGCATTGACATCTTCCTACCTATTAGAAGTTGATGTTATTCTATTTGAACTGAGACTGATTCCTAGGTAATATTCCCGTTACTATGTTATTTTACTCGCGGTGTATTAAATATTGTTCGTTGTCCACAGTTTTTTTATTTAACGTACCTTTTGTAGGCCATGTCTATTTCATGTGGTTATATGTGGTCTGTTTATACACACACACACACACACGATATATTGTATGTATCGTTACCTAAATTCACAATCACGGAGTAAATAATTTAACTATTAAGTAAAATATAGTAAAAACTTGATTTAGAGTTGGAGCATGAAATTAAATGAATATCTTCTATAATAGGATGGTAGGTACATTTATTGATATTTCACTAAATAGAAAAGTCAGAATTCTAAGAATGTAAATTGGTCCTTGCAATTATTTTTATTTGTAGATTGTGTCTATATAATGAGAACAGTGTAGTCTGTAGTGTAGATACTTTGTGATAGTATAACAACAAAGTTATTATTAACATTGTAGTACGTGTACACCTATTTTAAACAAATTTTAAGTCATGTAAGACTAGAATAATTCAAGCATCGTGCCATTTTTCTAAACTTAATTTCTATTTTCTTAGCTTTAAATATTCTTAAAATATTGCATTATGAAAGTTTCAGTTATGCCAAATTTGTACATGATGTTATCAATTTACCTACATTGTTTGACTATTGTGAAAAAACATTTTGAACTGATATGAGCATAGGCTAGTGACAGTTATGGAAGTAATTCTTTTTGATTTTCTTGTGATAAGAACCTTGTTTTTATTTATCTCAGCTTCTTGAGGAAACAATGCAATGTTAACTCCGGGCATGGTCCATTTCATTTCTGTACTCTGCACCGTAAGGGTAATGGTGTCCCACAAGAAGTAACAAGAAGATGCCCTTTCAAAGCTTAAGACCTTTGAGAGTGTCCCACTACCTTATGATGAGTGGAAGAAGGTTGTAATTCCATTAGTTTTGTGTGTGATGAGGTTGCAACCTGGAAGAAAGGTGTGTTAAACCTGCATTTTGAAGATTTTAATATTTTTTACTACTTGATATTAAAGAAATCTCTGTTTATAAATTCTGTTTCACATATGCTAGTGTGTGTTTATGTATTTTTTATTTTAGTGGTGAAAAGATGTGGAAGGTCCGATTCTTAAAACTAGTAAATCAATTTAGATTAGGAATTGTTTTTTTAGTGACCTCTGTTGATAAAAAAGTGAAAATTATATGACTGAAGTTTTGTAGGAGACAGATTTTCACCTGTGTGGCTCTTTATGCCATCTATTATTTCTGTTATCTACAGACTTAATTATATTATGTAAACTTTAAATGTGTTTTTTTTTTTAATTTAGAGGGTACAATTCATTCTAATACAAAGTTAAACAGAATGTTCATTTTGTGTATAATTTTAATAAAAGAATGCTTTTGTGACAAAAATAGTTTAACATGTTGATTTCAAAGTAAAATTTCTACTTTTTATTTTGCTCTGTTCTAATGAAATATACCTACTATGAAAGAAATCAAGATCTCTGTTTGATAGTAATTTTGGAATAATGTACATGACAAGGAAATCCCTTGTATTAATGCTGATTTGTCTTGTTTTAGTTGAGTAGTGTTGGTTGGCATTTATGTAAATTGTGTTGGAAATATCATAATAAAATAATCAGGCAAGTTCTGTTGCCAATTCATAGAAAAGTTTGTTTAACTGGTTCAGCTTGTACATTTGTTTTTTTACATGTTCTCTACTCTAGCTATGTGGAAACGAACTGGTATTTTAACCACCTTATAACCTTAAGTTCAAGTATGCAATTTAGAATGTGAAATATTGCCACAAGTATGACATGAAATGAGCTAAAATCTAGTATAATTTATCTGGCTTTCCGAATAAGCTAGAAATTCTTTAATAATTCCCTTATTTGGTGAAGCAGAACTCCAGCAGTGGGAAAAGAAAGAAAATGATACCTAAATGTTAATTGTATTTGAAGAGCTTGAGGTCCTGTTGCTGTTGGTAATCTGAAATGTTGGCTTTTTGTTGGTTACAAATGATCTAACATCTAATGATGGGTAGAATTTATAATAAAGTTTGAAAGTAGGATATACGAGAGGCACGTGGCTGTCATTATGTTGCTTATATCTTTAAATTGGAAAGCCTTGCTGCTACAAATTGCCAATTTAACACAAGGATATGCATGTTATAAGAGAGAAATTGTAGTGAAAGTTAGTCATATGGAGATACAAAAAAATAAAAAATGAACAATTTAGGGGTTTATTTTACAGCACTTTATCCTTAGTTAGGAAGCCAGTAAAATTATAGTTGTTATAGGACATCTATATGTGTGTTATTGTGTTCACATGTGTATATTAGAAATATAACTTATTTTAGTTATTAGTAATATTGCTGCAAGGAATTAGGTTTAAGGTTTGTTTAGAGTCAATAGCAAAAAAAAAAAAAAATTAAATGTAAATACTTAATTTCTTGTTTTTTTATGTATATTTTTTATTTTATAAAAAAACTTAAATGTAAAATTCACACTTGTTAAATTAGATAATGAAAGAATAATAAAAAAACATTTCTCTACATGGTAAGAGTACCTCTTATACAATTCCATTCAATATGGTAATGTGCCATATGTTTGTTGTGTGATTTACAGCTTGTATTGTTGGACTGTTGTGTTCCTTAAGCTGTTCAGGATTTATAATAGTAACCTTCTGTTACAATCTGCAGTCATTATATAAGGAAAAAGACTGTTTTAGATTTATTTTGTATTTTTCGTGGTGGTTACAAGGTCAATCAAATTGACTAAGTCTATATAGTGTTAAGGTAGAGAAAATAACAGATTGAATGTGAATTTTTAGTGGAAAAAACCTTCTGATATTCATTACAGATGTTTTAAGGGGATAGCAAGTAAAGTTCTTTTACCGAAGATGACTTTTTATCTGCTAAAGTTTATATTTCTGTCACCTAGTCTTATCATTTTTACCATTTAATATGAAAAAAACATGATTCATCAACACAATTAATTCATTTAACAATCAGATCCCCTCTAACTCTTCTTTTTTCAAGAGAAAACAAGTTCAGAGATCTTAATCTATCCTCATTTGATAACCTTTCCACCCAGTTGTCATCCTAGTAGCCTTCTTCCGAGTTCTTTTTGTGGTAAGGAGCGCAAAAGTGGCCTATATAATAAAATTATAACCTGTTTACACTTGTATTCAATATTTCTGAAGATACAACCTAAAATTATATTTGCCCTGCTACTGGCAACAATTTCCTACGTGGATGGATTAACTCTCTCAACACGGGCTTGGTCAATTTGACTGACCTCGTAACCACTTATACTAGTTATAGTTTACATACTAATAACTTTTAATATTTTAAGTGTATCTTTAAAAAAATTTGTAGACTTGTAGCAAACATTAAAAGCCTTTTGCAGATTTTTTAGTGAAGTATTTTTACTTGTATTTGTCTGTGAAAATATCGATTCTTTTTTTTAACTAGTCTGAGTGCAAAGTGATTTTCATTTTAAGATTCAAAATACTTTTCTTTGTTTCAAAAATCTCGAATTTAATTTGCACAACCCCTGAAACCTAAATACATATATACCGTTTTTTTTTCAATGAAACGTTATATTTTATCTGTTATTACATTTATTATTTGATTTTTCAGCCTGTACACAACTCATTGAAGTAAAATGAAAAGAAGAATTGTAAAATCAGAAATATAATGAACAGCTGTTTCCTTTTTCTTCATTATTGATCATGAAGTTTCAAAGTACTTCTCCTGAAAGTTTCAACTGCTAAACATATCCCATATATTTTCTGTGTTTATTTTACTGTTAACAACAAATTACAAACCCACTGACAATAAAGCAATAAATCACTGCTCATGTTATAAGGCTGTTTACATACAACTGTAATACAAAACTCTCGAGTGCAAAAATGCATGGGTATTCAGTGAGGTGACCTTCCCTTTGCTCCGAGAACACAATATGGGTTACAGCAGTTTATATTTCGTACAACACTTTCAACACGAGTTTCCCAATTATGTACAAGCTGAATTAAATTGTAGCGAAATGTTACAAGTTCTTCAAATACCTATAGAATGATATGTTTCTTTTTTGTGAGTGTAAAACACTTAAATACAACAGTTCGATATTGTAACATACGTTTTTTCTTTTCCAGTAAACAGCATGGTTCAGGGTTCATCTTCACTATTCTTAGGTAGTTACTTCAAAGTAAGTAATCATAATTTTTAGTACATATACATCTGTTCAATAATTTCAATATATAATTAGTTGATAAAATCCAGTGTAGTTGTTTCTGTATATTAGCACATCATATATTCCTCCTGAAGTCTGTGATACACATAACACTCACAGATTACATATATACACATATAAAACAATATACACATCAGAGAATACACTGTGTGTGTGTGTATATATATGTAATAATATACAACAGAGGATACATGTAATATACATTTAATGTTGTTTTTTCTTCTAGAAATGGACATGTTAAAAAATAAAGCTAGAGAGCTGAGGGAAAAAAACTCTGTGAAGAAGAAATGAAATTTCTTTTAAATGTGTTCTCGTCTGATGAAGAAGGCATTCTGTTAGAGGAGTCTGATGTTGATGAACTTTCAGCTAATGTGTCAATGGCTCTGACAGAATCTCAATAAAACCAGATGGCAACAGAATCTAGAGCCAGCTCTTCTTGATTCTGTCTTATGGAAATAGTTGGTGAAAGATCATCAGATGAGGATGTGGAATCATCCAGGCCAGGTACATCAAGGTAACCTACACCACCACCACAGAGAAGAGGCAGGACAAAGAGGGGAAGGGGTAGAGCTACCTATGCTTGTGGGACATGCAGGAAAGACAGACTGTATTTCCCACAGCAACTGGTTTCTACAGAAAGGGGAAGCACATATTTTTAATTGTGGAACTCTGACAGCTGTAAAGTGGACTGACAAACGAGACATTTACGCACTTTCATCTTTACACTCTAGTACTATGACAACTGTGACAAGAAGAGGGAGGGATGCTGAGGTTATAAAACCTCAGTTAATTGTGGACTACAATAAGTTTATGGGAGGAGTGGACCTAAATGACCAATACTTAAGTTACTACTCTACTGCACGAAGGACCATAAAATGGTATCAAAAAATTTTGGAATTGACAATTGTAAATGCTTACATTCTATACAAACAACAGACCAACCAGAAGGCCTTCAGAATGGACCTTGTCACAGCTCTTGTTGAGTCTACTTCGAAGCAGACCAGGTCCTTTTGGTATACCACTCTCTAGAACAGTACAGGACTCATCACTTCTGAGACTTGCTCTTGGCAGGCACTTCCCTACACTTGCTGACACAGATATCAGAAAAAGATGCAGACTACGCCCTCCTGAAAATAAAGTGCTAATAAAATGTAAATTATGTGATGAATTTCTGTGTGTGAAACACTTCAAAGAGTATCACACTAGTGTTACTCTTAAAAGAAATTAATTGTATGTACAAGGTAAAAGTCTGCTCTTTTCCTGTGTAAACAGATTTTGTTTTGTTTTTAAGAAAAACAGATCTTAGTAGCATTTTTTGATTGTTTTTTGACTTAACTATTTTTGTAAAGTTTTTATTTTAGTATTGATACACTTACATGTACAATAGTGATGCTTCCTTTCATGTGTCAAAATCAGTGTATAATATTATACTGTATATGCTGTCATAAGTATGGCTTTTGTAGTTTTCTAAAATGTTTGTAATAAAATACATATCTATAAATTTCCATTCATTCATACAGCTTTTTCTTTGTACAACTTCATGTGTTTGTTTTTGATTCATTCAATTTGTATGTACATTATTCCTTTTAGGCATGTATAAACATTTGTACATAATATTATTTCCCAATATTTGTAAATTATTTTACCTTTCTAAATGTTATGAATAAACTCGTATAAAATTGTCAAGTTTCTAATGTTGTATAATTTGGTTTTAACTTACCTCAGTTTAGACAATTAGAATAAAACGAATTCGGGAGGCATAACTGTATTGGCCTTCAAAATACGAATGTAACTATAATAAGAGTATAGTGAAAATTAGTGATATATCGGCCACCATACGTTACATATGTATATAAAAAAAAATACATATTACTATTTACTCATAAATACTTAAATTTTAGTTGCGTTTCTTAAAATACAAAAAGTAAATGAGAAATACACTGAAAAACAGATTTTGCCCCCCAGTGGCACAGCGGTATGTCTGTGGACTTGCAGCGCTAGAAACCAGGTTTCGATACTCGTGGTGGGCAGAGCACAGATAGCCTTTTGTGTAGCTTTGTGCTTATTTGCAAACAAACAGAATTCGAGTACGTAACCGTGTTATGAAATGTTGAGCTCATGCATCGAACTTGCTAAGCCTTGACGTAAGCCTCGTTTATTCTTCTGGGTGGAGGATGTAGAGATACTAATTTTTTTAGGATTCAAATATTAATTTTTGAAGACTAAAAAGTTATCAAATTACTGTATTACATACAATTCATTCTAATACAAAGTTAAACAGAATGTTCATTTTGTGTAAAATTTTAATAAAAGAATGCTTTTGTGACAAAAATAGTTTAACATGTTGATTTCAAAGTAAAATTTCTACTTTTTATTTTGCTATGTTTTAATGAAATATACCTACTATGAAAGAAATCAAGATCTCTGTCTGATAGTAATTTTGAGATAATGTACATGACAAGGAAATCCCTTGTATTAATGCTGATTTGTCTTGTTTTAGTTGAGTAGTGTTGGTTGGCATTTATGTAAATTGTGTTGGAAATATCATAATAAAATAATCAGGCAAGTTCTGTTGCCAATTCATAGAAAAGTTTGTTTAACTGGTTCAGCTTGTACATTTGTTTTTTTACATGTTCTCTACTCTAGCTATGTGGAAACGAACTGGTATTTTAACCACCTTATAACCTTAAGTTCAAGTATGCAATTTAGAATGTGAAATATTGCCACAAGTATGAAATTAAATGAGCTAAAATCTAGTCTAATTTATCTGGCTTTCTGAATAAGCTATAAATGCTTTAATAATTTCCTTACTTGGTCAAGCAGAACTCCAGCAGTGGGAAAACAAAGAAAAGGATGCCATCACTGACCCAGGTAGCTCATAAGTATAAGGAATCCTTCAAACGACACACCATGTTCATCAAGTTTGTTTTGATTATAGCCACAGGTTTAATCCACAATGGCTGGTCAAACATTATGCAAGGAAGTTTGATGTTGAGTCTGTGAGCTTGGTCCTGAACATAAAACTGTAGAGTAGATGCAGGTTTCAAATTGATAATAGGCAGGAACTTAACTTCAGACTTTGGTGATTGTGCACCACTCATGACATCTTGCATGAACTCTGTCCTGCTGGGCCTCAACTCTGACCTATTTTGTGAGATAAGCTCTAATTGCCATAGAAGGTCAAATGAAAATGATGTTGGTAATATACAATGGAAGACAACCCAGATGTATCTGGTGTTTGATGCACAGTGATATGAATTCCTTTGTCCCTCACGAGCTCGCTAGCTGATACTTGTTTCAGTCTTGCAATAGCTTTTTCTTTTCTAACAGAATGAAACTGTTTTGCCATTGAAGCTGCTATGATTCCCATGCCATGAAAAGATCCCTTGCTATTGATTGATGTTACATTATGGTCTATGTTATCAACAACCCACTGCATGAAACTTCCAGGAAAGCTCTCTGCTGGCGAGGTGTCTTCAATTGTTTCATCTTTGATTGAAGAATGCTTGTACCTTTGAATTTCGTCGTATGAAATTGAAAATCCCAAAAGAAGAGCAATTTGATGATGGCAGCTCACTGAAAAGGTGACAAGGAAAGCAAAACAACGCTTGCTTGGTTTTGCTCAAGACAAGTCAGTCACTGGGTACAGTTTCGCAATTTGTTAACTTAATGTTGAGAAGACTGACGGGAAATGAATGCTCAGTCATATCAGGAAACTGTGTAGGATATCTTTCAGGATCTCGCCGAATTGCCTCATAGCTTGAGCTGGTGTCGGAATTTCAGTTTGTCAAACAGTTTCTTATCTGTCACATCCTTAACTTTTACTGACTGATTGTTGATTGAGACGATGCCTTCTGAGTGTACATGTTTGACAAGTATTTTAATGTTACTTCCAGCCTCAGCTGTAGCAGTTTGATCTGTCGCCGTATTGTCAAATACTTCGTCACTGACATCAGTTTGAATTACATTAACTGTGGTAGAAAAGCGTAGGCTTTCAAGGCTTCTCTGTCCTTTAGTCTCACTTTTCCCTTGTGGCCATTTCTTTTCTCTACCCCAGATTTATGATGGTAATCCATGTTCATGAACTGAAAGAAAGATAATATATATATATATCCCAGTATGTGATAAGGCAAGCAATGCAAGTGGCACCTAGGTAGCATAAAGGACATCATCAGCAGGGTTGCCGTAAAACTGATCATATTGCTCCGAAAATTATGTAATATATATAAATGTTAAAAACGTAATTGTGTTCATTTTATGATATTTTAACCAACAACTCCTTAATAAATAACAGCTCTAATGATTCGCACAACCGAATGCCTTCATCATGACCGACAAGTAACCTCAGAGTCATAACGAGTAAATAAAAAGCTTATACGTCGAGTGATAAGACCAAGAGAAGGGTAGAGTGATGTTTCACATTAGGAGCTAGTTTCAGGAGAAAACCTATATCCACTGTAAGCACAGTTCTCAATCTGATCAATATTCAGTTTAACCATGTGTGTCGATTTTGATATCAGAATAGATTTTCTGGTGTATTCTATTCATATCTGACCTTCATTTCTTGTGCAAATGAGTGAATTGTAGGTTAGGTTTGATTGGATATTTTGGTTATTAAGTTTAAATTCCTTACATCACAAACATGAATCCAATATAAGTTAAAATAAAATTCGGTGGAAAATGAATAAATATGAACATAAAGAAATGTAAATATCTGACTTCCTACACAGCAGTAGATTAGCTTACTGCTCTGACCCGCAGGAGTAAAATGAATAATTAGCTTCAGTCCTTCCCCTCCTTCAATTAATACAGCTATATTACTAAGGTAAATACTGGGTAATTATTTCTAAAACACACATGTCGGCTGAAGTGTCTTACTGAGAATATGACTCCATAACTAACAGTAGGCCTAGAATGCTAATCTAACCTTAAAACACATACTTAGCCTATAGATATGACAGGTTACAGGCCTAATTATGACTGGTCACAGACCTAACTTATGAGAAATTATTGGGGTAAAAATGATATTACAAAACCTAGGCCTAACACTACTTAATCAAAAACAAACCAAATCAAAAACTGAATAGAGCATTAGAAGCTGTAATAAAAAATTACCGTATAAATTATGGCCGCAACTGCCATATTGCAGGAAAAAACGAGCATGAGTAGCTGACAGACCTTCAGATTCTGTTGACATTCTTCAACTCTCGAAACTGTCACGAGGATGTAACACCTTTGTGGTATGGCTCTAGATTCGAAATGGTTTGAGTTTCGCTAAATTTCACATAGTGGATTTTTATGTGAGAGCTAATATTATGGTTACTCTAATATATGAGTAATTAATACGCAAAAAAACCAACAACAACATCGATTGTATCACATAGTGTTAGTTCTTTCTCATTAAGTAGTATGCATTTCTAGTGAGCTTTGGAATATTCCACTGCCAGGTCCCGGGGCAACTCCCCCCCCCCCCCGCATCAGCCCTGT